AAGCTACCTCTGCTGGCGCCCTGTGGCATCTGGCGCTGAATTGTTGGCGAGTGATCCTTTGGGTTGTGTGGTTTACAAGGTTTCTAAAGAAGTTTCTCGAGAATGAATCCACAGTGCTCGAAAACTACGCCTCTATCAACCAGTCAGGTTGCGTTTTACAAGCTTTCCTGCCCAGACATATCATGAGTGTTATGGTCCTGAAACTGAGACCAAAATATGGAGTTTCATATCACACTTGAGCTGTTCCATTTCACAACAACTTTGGAGATAGTGCCTCTTATCATTTGTGTGGACACCATATGTATAAAGAATGTAACTATATGCTGCTGACAATCATGTCGTCACGTTGCCTGTGCTAAAAAGCCACGTGGGGCTGTGTTGGTTAAATCATGCTTTAAAGCATAAACTGGAAATGCACCAGAATAATGAGGTTTGTTTTTGTTGATGATCCAGTAAATGTTATTGTGACATCTGTTTGTTTTTTGTCCTCATTTCTTAAAATAATGAACCGAAGTGTGGGTAAAGTATTAACCAGATCTATGATTTGAAGAATAAGTGCACTCCCTAATATATGTAGTAAAGATGAGTATGTGAGCACCAAAGATTTACGTCACCATTTCAGTGACAAATGTTGAAATGCGTCCCATCTTCTCCTCTGTTCCCATGTTGTGTTGTTGATTAATGGACTGAATAGTTTTAGCAGAACATTAAGATGTCAAATGAAGTTCCCCTTTGACCTTTACGTATAAAATCACGCTCCTTCTAGGAAGTCTTGCTACTCGGTATCTTGGTAACGCCCCCCGGAGGTTATTTTGGGCAGTTATTTATTCCACTACACAACCACTTGCGTCAGTCCAGCAATACCATTGGCTGAGTATGTTTCCCTGCTTGGCTGTCTTAAAGAAGACAATGGCTCAGGAGAGGTGGGTGATTCAGCAATGCCCATGATCCAAAGTACACAAAAAGGAGGAAAGGAGGAATTGTAAAGTCCAAACGCTGATCTTAACCCAAACTGTAAATCTCTGGCATGTCCACCTAAAATTATGATGATCTGAAACAGGTTTTGAAGTGGTCTCAACAGCAGATACAGGAAGGGTTTGATGGATTGTTGCAGGATTACTAAATTCAAGAGTCCAGTCTTTGTGTGGTCTGATCCAGAAATCCTGTTTAATCCAAAAGCTCATAAATTTTTTGTAAGTGATAGAGTGACCAGATAGCACCGAAGCCACGTACTTTGTAATTGTCTTTTAATATTTGTCATGACAAGCCAGGTTTTTAGTCGCATCAACAGGGGAAACTTAGAAATGTGGTTTAAGTTCAGTCAAATGCTAGTTTATTTGTTCAAATTAAGTCTCGCAAGCCAGCCTAAACACCTGAAGGTTATAAAGAGATTGAAAGAGGATGGGATGGAAAAGCAAGGCGTGGAAAGGGACACTCAGTTCTTGTGATTCCTTTCCATATTGGACTGAGATTTTATCAAGAAAAAGGTATGCACCAAAGTATTACAGCATGTTAGAAGGAAGATGGCAGATGCACTGTTAACAATTTTTGCAGGCTTTGATTAAAAATCTCTTTTTAGAAAAAGCTTGTTTGGATTATTTCTTATTTACCTTAATTTGTGCAGTGGGATAAACGCTGTGTGCAGAGTTATTAGGCAAGTCATAATTCCCATGATTCACTTTATTGTGTAATACTCTCAATCCAAATTTTTTCCAAACTCCCATCCTTATTCTCAATTTTATGCCGTGTGTGTATATAAAACACCGATGACGTGGTATGTCGGTTTCTTGAACTATTTGGAAGCAGCTCAGCCTCCGAAATGTGTCCAAAGATCCTCATTTGGTCATTTTTGAGGCTTCTGCTGGCCAAACAGTGGGCTGCTTGAAAAACGAAAGGGAGAAAAATCTAAATGTGACCATTTTCATCACTGTGGACATGTTGTCAGCAGTAGTTTCTCCCCGTTCATTTTCCATAACACCTCTGAAATGTTCTTGGCCCATCAGCCTGTAAACAGTTGCCATGTTTCAGTAGTCTTTACTTTGGCATTTTGGCATTTAGTAGAGCTGAGGGACAACCAACAGAGTCAACAAAGTGCTCTGCAAAGCTTGTAATGGTGTGGGTGTGGAGCCCGACTCTCTGACAGCGGTTTCAGAAAGGATGCAATCCAAGTTGCAGTCAATAATGAACAACCGTTCACGCCCTCTCCATCTTACTCTACATCTTGTGCTGATCAGCCGCAGGAGCGTGTTCAGCAAAACACTCGTTCTCACACGATGCACCGCAAAACACCACACCACTTGTTTGTATTGTTCATTGTACTTTTTAGCTTTGGAATATTTAATTTAACATTTCACACTAAGAACTTTAGTTTTACTTCTTCTTTTTTTACATAGAGAGTTTACATTTTTATCGTTCATATTTTCTTTTTTCTGACCTTTTTCCAGTTTGCGGAGACATCCACGGGCAGTTCTTTGACCTGATGAAGCTGTTTGAAGTAGGAGGCTCACCAGCATCCACGCGCTACCTTTTCCTGGGGGACTACGTTGACAGAGGGTATTTCAGTATTGAAGTGAGTCTGTATATTTGTTTTTGTCCTCACCAGGGCCTAATCAAGTGTGACACACGCCATGTGTTCGGCTGAAGCTGTGTTTATTAATAGCTTTCTCTCAGCGTAGATCAAATCAGGCTGCAGATATTGTAGTGGTAATAGGCTTTTGTAATAATTTCAAATGTGGCTTGGAAAGCAAATGTCACAGTGAGGCTTGGAGTTATATAGAGAGAGATTTTAAAATAAAGCAATATACAGATATTTAATCTGGGGATTTGCCTATATGTGTATATGGCCTGAAATATTATTCTTTTATTAATAAAAGAATAATGTATCGGCGTGTGCCATGAGCACAAAATGCAGAACTACTTTTATTATACCACTCTGTAAAAGTGACACGATGTGACTCGATGGTTTTATGCTTCCAGCCTTTTAGAAATATGACAAGCTAACAGTCTCCTGCTTTCTTTTGTTCTGCTTTGTTTCAGTGTGTGCTGTACTTGTGGGCCTTGAAGATCCTTTACCCCAAAACACTGTTTTTGCTGCGTGGGAATCACGAATGTCGACATTTAACAGAGTATTTCACATTTAAGCAGGAATGTAAGTAACGCTTGTGCACTTAATGTTTAACCTTTTGATATAAAGCGAGTTAGTCTCTGAAGCTCTGCACGGGGAGGGAGCAAATTGAGTTATCCTTGCTAAAAAGCTGTTTATTATTTGTGCAGTTCAGCCACTGACCTCAAACGTTCGCTTAAAAGCACACTCTGGCCCGTTACAGGATTCAGCCTTTATATTTGTACATGTCAAAACTATTTCTGTTGGACTCGGACGGGATGGGGGGGGAAAGCCCAACGAAACCCAACAAAAGGGAAGTTTTTGGAACTGCGGAAAGCCTTTCCGTCCGAGGCCAGTGAACTTCCCTGATGTATGAGAGCGCCGTTGTTTGACTTGGCATCTTCTGTTCTCCCTGCCCCGTTTCTCCCCATGACAGGTAGAATTAAGTATTCAGAGAGGGTGTATGACGCATGTATGGATGCCTTCGACTGCCTTCCCCTGGCTGCACTTATGAACCAGCAGTTCCTGTGTGTACACGGAGGACTATCTCCAGAAATCACAAATCTTGATGACATCAGGAAAGTATGTGTCCGATTTTTTTTTTTTCCCCCTTAATTTTAATAAAGCTACAGTCCTGTGTTTTAGCATGCCATAACAACATTGCTTGCAATGAGTGAAGTTATTCCTCCGGATCTGTGTGCAGACGTGGACATGGTGGATTGTAAGCAGCAGTCTGGTCCTACCTCTGATTAAAAAATGTTGACGAGTCAGATCCAGCTTTCAGACTAATTCAATAATTCTAAATGGATTTTGTGGCTGCAATCAGAGGGCATGCATAATAGAATTTTCTCTATTGAAGTGTCCATCATGCTACCCATCCAGTAATCCACGAGCTTTTGTTGGAGAAAGAGCTACGCTTGCCTGAAAGCAAAGCCATTTATGTTCAGCGCTCGTAAAGAACGGCTGCCAGTTTTTGCAAGTTTTTTTCGGGCTTTTCCTTGAAAGATCCTTCCAGGTCCCGAAAGACACGTCACCCATATTGTGTTACCTCGAATGCCATTTAAAATCCCTTCAGCAGACATGTTACTTAATTATGATCATAGCTGCAGTCGCCAGCTCGGCTATCGCAGAAGAAGCAGTTTCTCCGCAGCAGTGTGACGACTCCGTGTGTCATATTTCCATTCGAACAGACTGACGGGAGTCTTGACTTTTTCCCTTTCCACAGCTAGACAGATTCAAAGAGCCCCCTGCATACGGTCCAATGTGTGATCTGCTGTGGTCCGACCCCCTGGAGGATTTTGGGAACGAGAAGAGCCAGGAGCACTTCACACACAACACAGTGCGAGGCTGTTCCTACTTCTACAGGTGAGTGTGTTCTGCGTTGATTCACAGTCATGTGATTTATTTATTTGTTTGTTTTTAAGACATTTGTGTGTGTGTGTGTTTGTTTTCTTTTTGGATTCCAAGTAGCTGTCAGAAGGAAAGCAGCTTTAGTTTACAGAGTGACATTCATCTGCAAGCCAACATTGTTTTTGTTGGGCAATCGGAATTAAAAACAAGATGTTGTTGCCGGTATTTTAGAAACTTTCGGTGCTCTTATTCCGCTTAGTAAAACTAAATAACCTGATTAGTTTTACTTTGTGGTTTTTTTTCCCTAAACAAAATATTTGAACTTGGAGGGGTGAAGGAGGGGAAGAAGAGTTAATAACTTCTCTCCTCCCATCTCACAATGCTCACGCCTCTGCAACATCTCAGCTGTGAGACGGTTGTTAGAGCGCGCTGTGCAATTGAGAAATCACAAAGACTCCTCCCTAGACTGTCGCCAGTATTTATGTAACCCACATTACCTTCAATTGAGCTGAGTAACTGAACGAACTGAGGAAATGCTCGGAGCGAGCGGCTCGCGCTGTCACAAAATGTAATGAACTGGCACATTACCACGAGGCACAGTGCCGCTTCTAAATGCGCTCGGCACTCCCTCCACTCATTACGGCCTGAGTGATGCTTGCTTCGCCCCGGCGTGCCTCTGGCGAGCAGCAGAAGTCGTTGGAGATGTCCCCAGGCTCCTAATAAACATTTTCTCATTTTCTTTTTTTTTTCCCCAGGTGTTTCATAACTATTTACTTAATAGTATTTTAATGCCCATGATGCTCAGAGAATGAGTGAGTCTCGATATTGCAGATCAACAAGGGGTTCTGCGTTAAAAGAATATTTTGCCCACGCGTGTCATCACTTATGTCACTTAACTGACCAAAAATGAGATGAGATGAGATGAGATGAGATGAGATAGCCTTTATTTGGCAGTTGCAGGTCTTTTGCCCACAACCGAGATGACAGACCTTGCCGACCGTACATACAATACAAACATCACATTGGGGAGACAGGTCAGGCTAGGTAGCGAGGAAAAAAACATCGAAATGTGTAACACAAAGGGATGATACAGGAATGCACAGATATCAACACACCATAGCACAATAAACACAGACAGCAACATGGGAAAAATGTAAGCTCTGTGGCCTTTTTGCCTCATCAACAGATTCGATCACATGTTTGTGTTGTATCAGCATCCCAGTTAACCTTCTGCCACATCGGTCAGAATTCCTCTGGAGTCTTTCTTTCATCGTTGTCCCCCCGACTCCATCTGCCCAGGGGATTGCTGCTAATTGGCATCACATTGAGTTTCAGGATTTATGAGACAGTTTTAGCCAGACCGAGAGAAAGCCATTCCTCAATACTCCTCCCCAAACCTATCGCTTCTTTATCCCCCCCAAACCATCGCCGCAGGCACGCTCGTAACACTTTTACAAACGCTATTCAGGCGTGAAATTGCACATGTTTGAGATATGGCTGCTTTTTACAAACGCCTCCACTCGGTAGTGTGTATGAATAAGCCTACAGTGGATGTTTAAAAAAAAACAAAAAAACATCTGTAATCAGTTCATATAAACAACTTTAAAGCTTTAATTTTAACCTAGCGAACGAGCAAAGTTCCTCTTGGATCGCACGTGGCGAAGTAATTTCTTGTACATCTCTTCTTGTTGTCCAAGGAGCACATTAACATCTGTGCCCCGTTGTTGGACAGATGGGAGACGATCTAATCTCAGAACGCAAACTGCCAAAAGACAAATTAGGCCAAAATGTGTCTTGACTACCAAACAGCAGCATATGGCACGCATCTACATCTGCTGGAGGAAATCAAGTGAGAAATCAAACATTTATTTCTAATTTCTCGTCCCCTGTAAAGAAAAACAAACTCATTGTGTCGTTAATTCTTTCATGGCATCTGCTCTCTCCTTTCACATGACTCCCAGCAGAACGCACGGGTTCTTGTGTCTACATGCACCGCGATTGTTGATAGATTTCTCCTAATGCCTTCACTTTTAATAATTAATCTCTTCAGCCAGCGTGGAGTAAGACATCCGAAAAAACAGCCAGTCAGATTAACGCTTGCTTGTATAAATTTGCTTGATAATGACCGTGTCCCAGAAGGACTGTACAATAGGAAATGCAAATGTAAAGCTGCAAAACACTTCTCTGCAGATCACACTTGAACAGAACTCCACAACAGCTTATCAGAGCCATTATGAAACCTCAGCGGTGCTTTGCGTTGATTATAGAGAAGTCTAAAAAGCTATTTTAAAATCAGCAGGTTTCGTCGTGCAGCAGTTGCTGAGGAAAATGTCTCGTTTGGTTTTGATTGCAGCGTGTGGGTGGTGTTCATTGTCAGGCAGAGGTGTCGAGCTAGGATTAAAGAACCTAGTTTAAAATCCAGCCTGTATTTTATTCAAGAACTTAATTTTACTTCGGTGAATCAAAGAGATTTGAGCATTCAGGGGTGTTCATTTCTTGGTGCACTTTTGTGTTTTTAACTTCTGGGTTGAATAAAAAGGGAGAAAAACTAATTGGTATGTAGAGACGGGCCCAGAGAGATGGGGATTTGAAGCAGACTGACTAAGTAACTGAATTGTAGCAATGATTTTTAAAAAATGAGAAGGATGTTGTAACCCAGAGTAGAAGAAGAAGCGGGCAGCTGTTGCGCAGCGCCTGGGGACCAGCTCCAGATGTAAGCCTCGGTCAAGGGCGCGACGACAGAACATCCAGCCTAGTTTTTGATGGCAGGGGAAGCTGGAGCTCCACACAAAAGGGCCCTGTCCTTTTAACATCACGAATGATATTTCAAATGCTCTCATTTAATTAACTTCTGCGGCTCGCACAGGGCTGTAAAGTGCCTTGAAATTTCATCTGCATCGCCGCAAGATGCCAGGGGAGGAGAGGAAAAAAGAGAAACCTCTTGAATTTCGCCCCTGTTACTGTCGAATAAATCCTCCCACACTGAAGCGTTTCACATGTTGCGCGTCGGTGCCACTCATTTATTGCGAGTTGTCACTCACTTTGCGAATCGTGGGTTTCTTTGAAATGAACAAAACCTCGGCGTCCACTGGGGTTTTATTTTATTTATTTAATTTTTATTCACGCGGGGTTGAAGCATCTCTCAAATGTTTGATGGGAAGGCTGTTTTTCAAGAAAACCTATAATGAGATCATTGTTTTTGTTCTTTTTTTTTTCTTAAAAAAATAAATAATCTCGAGGAAAGGATAACTAGTGGAAGCTGGCGCTGCAGGATGGCAAACTGCAGAGAAGATCTCTGAAGCCTTATTGTACTGCAGTATGCTGGCAGTAAGGGTTTTAGTCATGCTGCTCACAAACTGAAAAGATAAGCTCAGGCATGAAACAATTCCCCGCTTTTATTCCTTAAAGTATTTCGCCGTGTGTCACTCCGTAAAATAAAATCCAGCATTTGAAAATGGTCTTACTCCTCTTATGTTCTGAACCTTTTTTTGAGAACTTAATTGCATTATTGGTGATTATTTGAGCTATGAGTTATCATTCCTTCGCTCAGGAAGTGAAAGAGCCTGCTTTAAATTTCAGGTTAGATGTTAAGATCACCTTTAAAGGCTTTCATAATAATCTTGATGTATTTTTATTCAGTGTGCGGCTGGTTTTAGAGCTTGGCCACTGTTTCCCTGGGCACAATCAATAAAGAGCCATGACTTATTTGGTTTTTCTATTGATTGTCCTTTCTTGGTCTTTTCTTGACATGTGAGTAAACTAAATACCTCTTTTATTCAACAGCTACCCTGCAGTCTGTGACTTTCTACAACACAATAACTTATTATCTATCATCCGGGCCCATGAAGCACAGGATGCTGGGTGAGTGCTGTGGTGTTTTGTCTTTTCCCATCCCACTGTCACACAGCAGAGCGATTCAGACTGGGGTATTAAATGAAAAGCCTTCCCCCTGGTACCTAGGGGTTTGATCCAGTCTGTCTGGGAGCAAGTTCAGGGCAGCCTGATCTTTGAGAGGAGCCACGTTAATCCAAGAAATGAAAAAGAAACCTCCGTGAGGAGCGAGCTGGCCAGATGTGAAGCGACAGGAATGATTCACGCAGCTCGTGGTGCGGTTTAAAAAGTGTTGTGCATTTTACATTAAGCCACCTTTACAATTTTAACTACCCAGCAACTTCTTTTGGCACAACAGGAGGTGTGATAAGTATTTCATCAGGATTTCTACAAAAATAAAGCCTCTTTGAAATGTTTTTGTTTTTTTAACACTGCCAGGTGGGTGGATGTGTCAAGCCAATCTTCCTCTAAGCAAGGTTAAGACAGTGGGAGGCACAGCAGCAAAGTTGTTTACCATTGCACTCCCACTGGGTGGTCACATGGGACACCTTGGCCCTCGGTTGAGATAGCTGCCCCAAGACACCTCAGACCGCACATCATTAAGTTAATGGCTCCCGTTTAGACTTAATTTGCAATACCCAGTGAATATGCAGATATGTTTTCATGTCTGCAGTCTGTGGTCTAATAAATCGTCTAGGCTAGAACATGAAGCTTTAGTCCATTCCAGATATAAATACGTAGCATTCCCCATCATCAGTAGCTGTAAGTTGCATCAGACTACTGAGAACTTGGGACTTTAGCAAAGGGATTTACTCTCTGGAGGTGGAATATTAGGCAATAAAAATGATCACTACTAATCAATCTCAAGGGTCAAATGCAGTTGAGTAATTCATGAATGAATAGTTGAAATGTTAACTGATGCTTCTCCCTGGAACTTCACAGATACCGCATGTACAGAAAGAGTCAGACCACTGGCTTCCCGTCCCTTATCACCATCTTCTCAGCACCTAACTATCTAGATGTCTACAACAACAAAGGTAAGAGCGTGGGATTTGTCGTAATCAGTCTTCTGTGGCTTGTAGCTTTTGAATACCAGATTGTGACATATCGTTTTATGACTTGCCTAAGGCGACATAATATTCACTGTCAAGTCGATCCAGGCTGTAGAGTTGTTAGTGTCAGATTTGTTAAAGATAAATGACAGCACTGTGACGTCTCAAAATGCTTCGAAATCACTGCAGGATGATTGTGGATATAACTAATAATATTATGATTTTTGGGGAGGTGATTTGTGAAGAATTGCTCTACATTCATAAACTGTATAAAAAGACAGACGCAGCTTCTATATCTGATAGGGCTGCCACAAAAGATTATTTTGATAGTCGACTAGTCACCGATTATTTTTGCGATTAGTCAACTAATCAGATCATGCATCCATTGGACGTAAAACGTACAGCTTATTGCACCAGCACCACT